GTTTGGTACAAATTGATGGAACGGTTACCGAGATACACATATGTGGTCATAAGTGGGCGGTGCCACGCCCGTTTTCCCCAAAAAAAAATTTACGGTCGTATTTCTTTCTAAAGAATTATTGCAAACATAACGTTTTACTGAATTCTCTTCAGTATTAAGTGATTTATCAAAGATTTCGTATTTCTCTAAATTACCGCTGTATGGCATGTGGGCGTGGTAATTGTCCGATTTCAAAAATTTCCATCCGCGTGGTATGTTTTACCAGGACCAACCACTGTGCCAAATTTAGGAGAAGTTGGTGAAGCGGTTACGGAGATATACACATCAAATCAAGAGTAGGCGTGGCTACACCCATTTCCCAAAAAAATTATAAAATTCTTATTTTCCACCAAATTATTTAGTTATTTGGTCTACAGAAAAATGTTTTCTTACAGACAAATGAGAATAAAACATTTAGATATTAAAGTATGTGTGATATATTACAGAGTAGACTAATTATAAATATTATTTTGTAATAATAATAATAAGGTTTGGTAGCTGGCGAGGCCTAGTCTTCAGTCTACTTTTGTGTGCAGCGGGCGGAAAAACCTAGTTTCCGCTCCGCGCTGCGGACAGGATGTTGAACATGGTCGGTAAGGCCGGGTTTCCGATCCATGTTCCCGACGACATTACTTTGTATGTGTGGCAGGCGGAAAGCTCTAGTTTCCGCTCCGCGCTATGAACAAGCTGTTGATCATGGTCGGAAAGAACGAGTTTCCGATCCATGTTCCCAAAGTCATTACTTTGAATGTGTGGCAGGCGGAAAGCTTTAGTTTCTGCTCCGCGCTGAGTGAATAAGCTTTAGTAGTTACTACAATATCGCAGTTTTCGTATTTCTGAAAACTACCGTGATATGGGAGTATGGTGGCCAGATGCGCTGTTTTAATCAGTACATGTGCTGATTTTTTTATAGTACTGATTTTTAAGAACCCGAAATAAGTATAAAATTTATAATTTACATTTACTTGAGGTTTTTGACAAATTATACGTGTGAGCAGGTTGAAAGCAATTTATTAAACGTGTAAATGCAGGTTTAATTAAATGTAAACTATTTTTCAAAAGATGTCACCTTGAAATTGCTTTTCCTAATATTTTGAAAAATAACTGGTACTTCACGATTTGAAGGTTTTACAGGATTTCCATTAATAAACCTTATGGAAGGTGGCAACCGGGAATGACTTCCTGTAAAAACCTGCAAATCGCGAAGCTGCTGTTGTGCTTCTTGAGCAATGTACGTTCTAAAAATTTGGAAAAGTTGCAAACTACCGACTCTTGGATATGATATACAGTCACTCACAGAAGTATTCATAATTTAGTTTTTTCACAATTTTCAAAATGTTTTCCATCATAAATCTTTTTCGTTAATTTTCATTGAAAATATAGCTCATTTTATAACAAAAACCATATAAATCATTCTTGCAAACTTTGTACAAAATTCATAAAAATTCACTAAAAAAATATTCTTCAAAATCTATTTTTATATGGAAAAAAATGCGCAACACCCTCGACAAAAAAAAAGTTCTAAAAAATCAGCGGTAATTTTTAGTTACTTTAAACTTGCACTTTATCATACTAAAATTGAACGGGCTATAAAACTACGTACCGAAAATTTTTCTAAACATTCTGAATAAAAAGTTTAAAATTTTGATGAACATTTTTTTACGTTTGATTTATTTTTATGAATTTTGTACAAAGTTTGCAAGAATGATCTATATGGTTTTTGTTATAGAATGAGCTACATTTTAAACGAAAATTAACGAAAAAGATTTATGATGGAAAACCTTTTGAATATTGTGAAAACACTAATTTACGAATACTTCTGTGAGTGACCGTATGTAGCTTTACTTTGATTTTTTTTGTTCGACCATCTGTAATTTTATTTGCACAAACACATTTAACACTATACAATTTCATTCGTACTCGAAAATTCGGTATTATTTCTTTCAGTCAACATTTTATTGTGAATGTTGTATTTAATAAGCTCACCAACTAAATATGTTTTAAGTTTGTAGCTTCAAATATGCAGACAAATTCTGACCCGAGCTCGTCTTCTATTGTACCTGAATGGGCTACAAAACTGCGTACTCCAAATTTTTTTTAAAAAGTCGGATCAAAAAGTTAGATATTTTAATTTTTAATATTTTTATTGAGCTTTGTACCACGATTGTTTATTAGGAAAAATTGACAATAACATTGACAAATACATTAGATATTTTAATATTACTTTTTAAAAGTTCTTAAATTCTTATACATTCTCTAGAAAGTTTGAGACCTCAATTTTTATAAAAAATTTAAATTAAGCAGGGAAAGAAAAAAATTTCAAAACTTGTCAATATATTTACAATTGTTTTTTGTGAACAAAACTTTACATACATGCGTGATACCTCTAATTTGTTTTAAACTAATGGATTGTTACAGTGGCGTAGCCAAGATTTGGTTTTGGGGGGCATGAAAAAAAAATTTCCATCGTTAACTTAAATTTGTGACACACAATGGCTAGAGGCGTCGTCTGAGTGCATTCTTTCATATATTTATGTATGTGCCAGTTTTACCGTTATATATTTTTTATCTACTCGTTTATTCCATGGGGTATTCATGCTTTATTTAAATTTAAAAAATTAAATTACTATACCGTTTCAAAAATTTGAAAATTCACTGCGGGAAATTTTTTTATTCTCTTTTTGTCTTCGCCTTCTCGTTTTTACCTTTATAAGTTTTGAAAAAAGGTTTTGAACGAACCATTATATCACATTCCTAGGCAAGTTTTGAAAGAATATTTTCGATACTAAATTTTATTAAAAAAAAAATGTCGAAATTAGCTTCATATAGAAACTGTGTCATCATTAATTAAGAAAGAGATGTTCTTAAATATCATAACTTTACGACACTCACATATTGACTAGATTTGACTATTTATTTTATTATATCTTAATTTGAATAATTTGTTTATAAAAATATAGTTTATTCCTTAACAAACACTAAATGAAAATAAGTTTAATCTTTGAACAACATTAAAAAAAAATCGACAAACTTTCGTAAAAACTTCGAACTTTCTATTTCAATTTTATCTCTTAATATTTTGCAGTTTTTTAGCTCATTGAATTTTAGTCTAATAAAGTGCAAATTTAAAGTAGCTGTGATTTTCAGTTGATGTATGGCATATTTTTGACGATCTCGGTAATTTTCTTCCATATTATATAAGTATGTTCGACGATTTTTTAATGAAGAAAATGGGCAACGCCTTCATCAAAAAAAAATAAAAAATAAAATTAAAAATCAACGATAAGTCGCAGCTATGTGCTTGCGCTTTATTTGAATTGATCGGGCTTCAAAACAGCATACTCAAAATATGTATTTATAGGAAATCTAATTAAAAAGCTTTACGAAAGTTTGTTGATTTTGTTAATGATGCGCAAAGATTAAACCTTGGATTTATGCGGGTTTTGTTAAAGTGTTGTTGAAGCCAAAAGCCTTCAATAGTTGGGGAACCACTGGTAAGTGTTCTGCACCGCTGTTCGCTGCAAAGCTACACCGCTGCGGGAAAACTACCGGTGGGCTTCTTTCGAAGTTCAAGATTATTTAATGCGATGTTCGGTTTGAACTGCGGTTCTTTTTGATGACAGCAGCCAGACCGACAGCAGCATTGAGTCAGCGATCACTATTTAAGGTAATTTATATGTATATTGTGAACATCCATTCCTTTGTCCTACTTTGCTTATGTACATCGTATTTGAGTAAGGCATATAACTTCGTATATGCGCTTGCAATAAACCGTCTTACATACATATATACTTAATCTAATACAAGTGTTTATATTTCTTTTTTTCCTTGTGATACATCGTCGTGAGTTCGCACCGGCGTACGTTGGTTTTGCTTCTCAGCAAAACATTTTGGTCCTCCTGAGCCGTCGAACTCCCACGATACATAACAGCGGAAGTACATATGTACATCAATACCTAACTCTAACCCGAATTTCAGCAGAGAAGGAAGAAAAAACCCAGCAAATCTTTTTAAGAACAAAAGCCCGATCGAGGAGCAAAAGTCCGAGGAAACCACGAACAAGTCAACTCAGCTATATTAAACGAAATACATACAAACATACAGGTGCGTGTGAAAAAATTCATAAATTGTTGAGCTCTGCAAAAAAGAATAAAAAACGATAGAGGTAGAAATAAAAGTTAAAGCGAAAGTGTTTTTTCTTCTATAAATTTTCGAAAAAAATAATCAGTGCCATCTTAGTCAAGTTGTACAGGAAAAGTGCAAATATATAAGCAAAATACATAAAACAAAAAGTGCGAAAATACATAAACAAGCATATATTTACGTATGTACATATGCATAGTCGAAGCAGTGAAAGAAAATAAAAACCAAAAGAAAAATAATACCTTTCCACACAAATATATTGTGCATATCAAAAGCATATACATATTATTTAAAGTATATACAAAAAAAGCAACTCGTGAAAGTGAATGCATAAATCGAACTATAAATACATAAGTGAGTTTTCTTTTCTTTCACTTGGTTCTGCAATTCTGTGTGCAAATACATACATATGTGCATATGTGCATACAAAATTACTTGTGTACATACATTTTTATATACAGATATATGTGGTCATTGTGTACAAGAAAGTGACGTTCTTTTTGCATTTAAACGCATCTCGATAACTCAAAAGATTTAAATCGTTTCCAATTAATCAAATTATTTTGGTGGTGATCTCTTTAAAATAAAATTTTTTCGGAAAATCTTGGAGCATAGTATATTCAAATATTAATTTCGGCCACATCTATCTGTATTATTTATCTTCGAATTTGGTGTATTCCTTATTTACTAAATATATGTAAATACATAAGTTTATATACATACATACATATTTACATTTCCAATCTCTCGAACTGAGAGATCTTTTTTTTGGTGTATATAATCAGCATCGCGACATTTTTCGCTACTTTACTGTGCGTGCCTAAGTACATATAAACAATCGTACATTTATATACAAGTACATACAGCACATATTTACCCGTATCGGTGCATTTTCGGTTTTTTCCTATTGCACGCACCTTTTGTTCGTGTTGGCGCTCAGCTGGTGACTTTGCATTTTTTGCTTAGTCGCCTGTGTATTTACATTCATACACACCTACATACCTACAAGTGCATATACATATTAGCACAAGTGACCCAGTAGGAAATTTTTGCATTGACCCTGTAGGAACTTTCTATATTTACATCATTAGTTTAAAGTCAATCAGTATTTGCTGTTTTTCGATTAATTGGTGGCGCTTATCATTCCTTTCGTGTTTTTCAATAATTTAGTTCTTTCGTTATTTGTACATAAATCGACTCTCGTTCTTTGACAAGTATGTCTACCTTAAGTTATTTCACTAGGTGCTCAGATCAGATTGTCGAATTCAATGCGGGATTCGATGAAGCGACTTTGAACGAGCATTCGAAAATTTCTTTAGAGATTTTGAAAACGGAGTTGATAGACATTTGGTCTAAAACTAAAAATGCATGCGAAAAATGCTTACAAACTCTGAAAGATGAAGATGAGGTAGAAGCCGTAAAAGCCAAACAAAATTCAACTTTTAAAGATTATCTTTCGTGTTTGTCGCGCATTAGCGAAGGCATTCAGAAGTACAGCGTGACGGCTGATACTGCTTCTTATGTGCCCCCTGCCCAAGTACCCAAGCGCTCCAATAATTTGAACCTACCGCCATGTGACACAGAAATATTCCATGGTGACTATGTGTCGTGGCCATCCTTCCGTGATCTCTTCACCGCGATTTACATTAATAATGCGGATCTGAGTAACATCGAAAAACTCTTCCACCTTCGACATAAAACAAGCGGCGAAGCACGAGACATCGTTAGCAAACCCCCACTATCAAATGAGGGATTCGACATCGCATGGTCAAATTTGAAGGCAGCGTACGAAAATAAACGGGTTTTGGTCAACAAGCAATTGAAGCTGCTTTTTTCGCTTCCGGTTATTCGGACCGAAAGTGCACCCGCGTTAAAGGAGCTCCAGCGAGGCATAAACGGATGTCTATCAGCGTTAGCAACGTATAACGTCAACGTTGGGAATTGGGATCCGATCCTAATCTTCCTGTGTTCAAACCGACTCCCTGAAACAACACTTTCTCTGTGGGAACAAACACTACTAGATAAAGCTGCTATACCGGAATGGAGTCAGATGGATGCATTTCTCACTCAACGCTTCAGAACTTTGGAATCGATAGTGGATGTGAAATGGTCAGCTTCATCTTCTTCAACCAACCAACATCAAAAAGCATTCTCACATCAACCCAACCCGGCGGGTCAAAAGAAGGTGTCTCTGGCGACAAATATTTCTCAGTCTTACTGCATAATGTGTCAGAAACAACAACATCCTTTGCGTTTATGTACAAAATTCTTGTCACTTTCGATTAATGATAGGTTCACTGCAATTAAAAAACACAACTGCTGTCTAAACTGTCTTTCAAAAGGCCATTCGATAAAAGACTGTAAAAGTCAATTCTCGTGCACTAAGTGCAAAAGTAGACATCATACTCTACTTCACAGAGTGTCTTCTAACACTCAACCCCCAAAAGAAACTGCAGGTGGAACTGCTTCACAGGCATTCCATACAAATATACAGTCCGCTTCTTCTAACAGTATGTTGTCGACAGCTGAGGAAAATTTGAAATCGTCAGGCTTATCCTCAGCTCTACTTGGAACCGCCATGGTTCACATCTGCCACTTGGGCTCAACTTATATAGCTCGCGCTTTAATTGATTCAGCTTCAGAAGCCTCGTTTATTTCTGAACGACTTCGAAAACTTTTAAAACTACCGTATTCCAAGACAAATGCGGTTATTTCGGGATTGAATCAAAGGGTTTCTAACAGCGCATCGAAAATTTGTTCGTTTGTTTTAGGCTCACCCCGTGATCCAAATCTTTTAATAGAAGCTACTGCGTTTGTATTACCACAAATCACTGGTAACTTACCCTCGACCTCAATAGATGAATCCATTCTAGAAAAACTGCCTAAAGTACCTTTAGCAGATTCGAAGTTTTTGCAAAGCGGTCCTATCGATGTTTTGATCGGAGGAGATTTGTACCCCAAGGTTATGTTAGACGGGGTAAAACGTAGTATTCAATACAACCTTCTGTCTCAAGAGACGGTGTTCGGGTGGATTGTCACTGGGGCATCTTCCACTGCACACGTCTCTTGCTTTGCTACCAAAGTCTCAATGGGAGAGGACATTTCGTTAGATAGCCAACTACGCAAGTTCTGGGAGTTAGAGGAAGTCCCAAAAAATAACCTTCAATCAGACGAGGATATGTTTTGTGAAGAGCTGTACTTGAAAACAACTACTAGGAATTCGGAAGGAAGATACGTGGTTTCGCTACCGTTTAAAAACTTTTATCCAACGGATGTTAAGCTAGGATCATCGCGTCCCATTGCATTTCGGCAATTTATTCGTAACGAAGCAAGGTTAACGAAAAATCCATCTTTAAAGGAAGAGTATGACAAGGTTGTTCAAGAATATTTGGATCTAGGGCACATGGAGAAAGTAGAGGCTCCAAGTTTTGAACATTCTCCTAGTCATTTCTACCTTCCTCATCATGCAGTCTTGAAACCGGAAAGTACTTCCACGAAATTAAGGGTAGTTTTCAACGCGTCCAGCAATTCTTCGAATGGAGTTTGTCTTAACGATATTTTACATGTAGGCCCAACCCTTCAAGCTGATTTGACCTTGCTACTGATACGATGGCGGATGTATAAATACGTGTTTAATAGTGACATCCAAAAAATGTACAGGCAAATTTTAGTTAACCCGTCTCATAGGCCCTATCAAAGGATTCTTTTTAGAAAGGATCCACATAGTGGTATACAAGATTTTCAGTTAAGGGCGGTAACGTTTGGAGTTAATTGTGCGCCATACTTGGCAATTAGGACTCTTCGGCAGTTAGCTCAGGATTCTCATGATTCACATCCACTAGCGGCTCAGATTTTACGAAATTCTATGTATGTAGATGACGTTTTAGCGGGATTTCACGATGTGTCCACAGCTTTACAGGCACGAGACCAGCTGATAGAAGCACTTGATAGTGCAGGATTTTCTTTGAGGAAATGGTCTTCAAATTCCAAGGAAATCCTCATGGATCTTCCTCATGAGCATTTATTAAAGAGAGAATTTTTAACTTTAGATGAGACAAGCACAACAAAAGCACTAGGGATTAGATGGAATGCTAGATTAGACCATTTTTTCTTCAGCGTTCAGACCCTCCCTTCAAAGGATAGCTACACTAAACGAGAAGTGTTGTCAACGATAGCGAAACTTTTTGACCCAGCTGGTTGGCTAGCTCCGGTGGTGGTCGTAGCTAAAATAGTGATGCAACAAATTTGGTCAGATGGTACTCTCTGGGATCAGCCTATAAGTTCTCAAACACTTTTTAAATGGAAAACCTTTGTAGAAAGTTATAGGTATATCGATGACATAAAAATTCCGCGTTGGGTGAATTTCACCATTGAGTCACCATTCGAAGTCCATGCCTTTTGCGACGCGTCGGAAAAGGCATACGCGGGGGTGATATATTTGCGGGTAGAAAACCACGGTACAGTGTCGTCGCACCTTTTATTAGCAAAAACTAAAGTTGCACCCATAAAAACTATTTCGCTTCCTCGTTTGGAGTTGTGTGGGGCGGTTCTAGTTGTCGATATGCTTAGGTCTCTTCTAAGTGAACTTCCTTTCAAGGTGGAAAACATATTTTGCTGGACAGACTCAACCATCGTTCTCTCTTGGCTCAAAAAGCGGCCCTGCTCCTGGACCACCTTTGTCGCAAATCGAGTAGCAAAGATACAGGAATTAGTCGGATTTAGGCATTGGAATCACGTGGACTCGAAGGATAATCCAGCAGATCTTGGCAGCAGAGGAGCATACCCTCAGGACTTATGCGCAAGCGAGTTGTGGTGGTACGGCCCTTCCTGGTTAGGTAAAGATGCAGGGCAATGGCCATCAATGGATGACGAACTGGACGATATCACGATCGAAGCAAGGAAAATAAAGGCGCACGCTTCGCTTGTGTCAAGCCATGAGGATCCCTTAGAAAGATTTTCATCTCTTCCGCGCGCACTGCGTGTTTTAGCTTACGTCTTCCGGTTTTACAACAGGACTAACCGGCACACTCGAAGATTCCACTCGTATCCATCGCTAGCGGTTTCGGGAGAGGAAATCTCGAAAATTCGTATTCGGCTTATAATTCTGGCACAGATGAAGCATTTTTTGGAAGAACAGAGATGTCTGACTTCAAAAACTCCAATTTCACCGAAAAGCAAACTTTTAACCTTGAATCCCTTCTTAGACTGTCAGGGTATAATGAGAGTCAATGGTCGACTCGCAAATTCGCTTATTTTATCTTATAATGAAAAACATCCCATTCTTCTACCTTATAGTTGTTCGTTCTCAAGGTTGTTAGTTCACTTGATCCATAACATTTCTCTTCATGGAGGAAATCAATTGATGCTGCGGCTGCTTCGCCAACAGTATTGGATTCCAAAGGCAAAGAATCTCATAAAGACTGTCATTCATAACTGCAGAACTTGCGTCATTCATAAAAAGCGGAATCAATCCCAAATCATGGCTGCCCTTCCTGAAGAGCGAACGACCCTTTCCAGGCCTTTTCAAAATACTGGAGTCGATTTTGCCGGCCCATTTGATATTAAGAGTTTCACTGGTAGAGCATGTAAAATCACCAAAGGTTATGTTTGCATATTTGTATGTTTTTCCACACGGGCAATTCACCTGGAAGGTACAAGCGATCTGTCCACAGAGACCTTTCTTGGCGCATTCTCGCGATTCATATCTAGACGAAGCTGCCCTCAGCAAATCTTTTCGGACAATGGGACCAATTTTGTAGGTGCGGCAGCTAACTTGAAAAAGGAATTCAAGAAATTCCTAACCACGTCGCGGGAGTCTTTGTGCAATATGTACAGTCATCAGGAGGTGTCTTGGAACTTTATCCCTGCCGGCGCTCCTCACATGGGAGGACTATGGGAAGCTGGAGTTAAAAGCATCAAATTTCATTTTCGACGTACCGCCGCTTCTCAAAAATTCACCTTTGAAGAGTTTCAAACCCTACTTTGTCGCATTGAATCCTGTCTAAATTCTAGGCCGATATCGCCCAATTCCACCGACGCCGCAGATTGTGCAGCCCTCACACCTGGTCACTTTCTCACGGGGGGTCCCATACTTTCTCCCCCCGAACCCTCCATAGAAGCAAACCCAGTCTCGATAATTAATCGGTGGCAAAAAATAAAGGCTCTTAGCCAGCAACACTCTCTGCGATGGAAAGAGGAATATCTCAAAGAACTCCATAAACGCTACAAATGGAAATCCCCTCAAAAAGACATCGCCGTCGATGACCTAGTTGTAGTTCGCCATGAAAATCTCCCTCCTAACGAGTGGCGCTTGGGCAGGGTCACAAAGATTTATAAAGGCTCCGATAAAAGAATTCGTGTTGCAGACATTCGCACACAAAAGGGATTGATAACGCGACCTATCGTGAAGTTAGTGGTCTTACCAAACTAACCCCTCATATCAATACTTTCCTTTTTTTTGCCGCTTTAGCATCAAGACCATGGAACTAGTTCCCGTAGACCGATCGACACCATCATCGCCACGCGCCTCGCCTCCACCGCCACCGACAGATGCCTCCGCCCAGCGCGCAGCCAGGGAAGGCAGGTCCAAATGTAGAGTTTGCCACCGGTCGCATCCTCTCCGGTATTGTAGGCGATTCTTAGATGCCAACTACGAGCGCCGGCTGCGCCTTGTGCTTCTCCATCGATATTGCTCGCGATGTTTAGCCCACTCCCACACGGCCAAGAACTGTCTGAGCAACGGGACGTGCCAATATTGTGAGGAAAAGCATCACACCCTGTTGCATGCAAACCACCGTCTTTCTCCCCGACGCCAACTTCCCCTACTTTTAACGCAGCTTTCGGGAACAGTCACCGTTCTACCCACCGTTGCGGTTTACCTACACATTGGGCCTCGGAAATTTTTAGCTCGGGCTCTGATAGACCCTTGCTCGCAAACGAGCAAAATTTGCCACGCGCTGGTGCACCGGCTCCGCCTAAAGACGGTGCCCGTGGCGAATATCAGCATGTGCGAGCTCCACGTAAGCTCGTCAAATGATGCACATGTGCGATTCTCCTTGCCGGCGAGGGTACTGTCGGAGATCGGGTTGAAAACTCCCGCTCGTCATCTCAGCCAAGCGACGCGGGACAAATTCATTAACCTCAAGCTCGCCGATCCTGGTTTCCACACTTCCTCTGCCGTCGCCTTGATTTTCGGTGGGGATGTATATCATAAAATCATAAGAGGCGAACTTATTGCTTATCCTGGGTTTCCTACCGCCCAGAACTCTATTTTCGGTTGGGTCCTTTCTGGCCCATGTGCCCTTTAAGGCACAGCGACCCCTTACTGGGTAAATTATATAGTATTTTTAAAGTTTGAATTTAATTGGAACTGAATTATTTGAATAAATGTAAAAAAAAAAAAAACCAACACAAGAGAGTTCAACAATTTAATATTTTTTGCACGCATCCTAGTTTTAAGTATCGTACTGAATTTGAATTTGTATATATTATATTTCCATCTCTAGCTAAACCTAATTTTTAAGTAATCTAATTTGAAGCATCTTGCAATTCCTCAGTATTGCAAGGCTGGCGGCAATGTTGAAGCCAAAAGCCTTCAATAGTTGGGGAACCACTGGTAAGTGTTCTGCACCGCTGTTCGCTGCAAAGCTACACCGCTGCGGGAAAACTACCGGTGGGCTTCTTTCGAAGTTCAAGATTATTTAATGCGATGTTCGGTTTGAACTGCGGTTCTTTTTGATGACAGCAGCAAGACCGACAGCAGCATTGAGTCAGCGATCACTATTTAAGGTAATCCATATGGATATTGTGAACATCCATTCCTTTGTCCTACTTTGCTTATGTACATCGTATTTGAGTAAGGCATATAACTTCGTATATGCGCTTGCAATAAACCGTCTTACATACATATATACTTAATCTAATACAAGTGTTTATATTTCTTTTTTTCCTTGTGATACATCGTCGTGAGTTCGCACCGGCGTACTTTGGTTTTGCTTCTCAGCAAAACAAGTGTAAACTGCATTTTCATAAACAAATAATTAAAATTATATAATTTTAAGATAAATGGCCCATCTAGTTAACATGTATAAAGTTTTGATAAGCACTTGAAATGTCAAGTTTTAGTACTGAATTCAAAGAAGATGTCTATTTTATGCATTCATAATAACTTAAAAAAATTTGTTTGTTAAGAAGTGTATCTTAAAATATCTGCCTTGACATTTATGTTAAAAGTGTAAAATATGTAAATGTACCTACATAAACTTTCCCGTGAATACCATCAAAGCATTGGTCTTGAAGGGAATCTACAGAGAGCGTTTAATACAGAGAAACAGCAATTACGAATAGCCGTGTGAATTTTCAAACACTACCAAAAACACTCTAGAAGCTCACCACTCGAATCGAAAATTGAGAGTGGCAAATTGACAGATCTGAGCGGCAAGTTAACAGAGCTGAGCGGAGATACAATTTTGTTAATTTGTATCAATGTTAAGTACTTTGGTTTGGATTTTCTTTTTCGCGGCATTGATTTAATAAAAAAAAAGATGAAAATTAATTTTCGAAGATATATGCCAGGGAACGCTTTAACTCCACGACGTAGATTTGTTATCTAATAAATATGTGAAAGCTATGCAAATATGCAAACTCATTGGTGATTTGCCGTCGGCATTTGGGTCGCAAAAATCGTTTTTTTTTTTAATGATTCTTATTGTAGTTGCTACGCTATTTTCAATGCAATAGCTGCCTTAGTTTTTTCCCAAACTCACTTTAAAGATAGACGCATTAACAAAAAAATGTACAAAGCAATGCACTTGTTAACTTCAAAGTTGTTTTTGAGTTTTACTGCAATACTCGTAGATATTATTTGTAAATAATAGTTCTGGAGACAAATGCAAATCCATTTCCCAGGCATGCGCATATGGATGCATGTAGTACATACAGATGCGATCAACTAATTAGCAACGAAATTCAAAATGATATTGTTTGCAATTTGTGTTTATTTATTTATTTTTAATAATTTCCTTTAAAATATAATTCAATCTATAACAGAAACCACAATAATAAAAGTTTAAAAGCTTGCACAAATTGCAAAATAANGACAAATGCAAATCCATTTCCCAGGCATGCGCATATGGATGCATGTAGTACATACAGATGCGATCAACTAATTAGCAACGAAATTCAAAATGATATTGTTTGCAATTTGTGTTTATTTATTTATTTTTAATAATTTCCTTTAAAATATAATTCAATCTATAACAGAAACCACAATAATAAAAGTTAAAAAGCTTGCACAAATTGCATAAAAATTAATCAAAAGTAAAAAAATTGCTTTCAAGATTTCCAAATTTTTAATTTGAAATTTAGAAAATTTTCGGGTATGCAGCTTTGTAGCCCATTCAATGAAGTACACTAAAGTGCAAGTTTCTAGTAATTAAAAATTACCGTTGAGTTTTTAGAATTTTTTTTTGTGGAGGGTATTCGCATTTTCTTCCACCCTCCACAAAAAAATTCTAGCAACACCCCCACAAAAAAACTATAAAATCAACGGTAATTTTTAACAACTTGAAACTTGCACTTTCTTATACTATAATTGAATGGACTACAATACTGCATACCCGAAAATATTTTAAATATTCTAACTAAAAATTTGGATGACCATTTCTTGAAGTTTGATTCGTTTTTTTGCAATTTGTGCAAGCTTTTAAACTTTTATTATTTTGGTTCTTGTTACAGATTGAATTATATTTTAAACGAAAATCATTAAAAATAAATTAACATAATTTGCAAACAATATCATATTGAATTTCGTTGCTAATTAGTTGATCGCATCTGAATGTATGTATGTATGTATGTACTTACATATGTACATATGTACCCAATACACATACTCCAAAATCATTTATTGATAACGTTCTTGCAAATGCACATAATATTACATATATGTATGCACATACTAACTTTATTCTTATTTGGGGCTGACAAACTTTAACTTAAGAGTCGACTTTATTTCGTCTACTAATATGCCCCAATAGTTTTGGAGTCAAATGAAAATGCATTTCCCACGCATACATATTACATTATTTGACAACGCTTTTACATGCATATATAAGTACATACATACATACATATGCGCATATTGCTGCCTAAATACTACGCACATATATACAAATGTACATATGTGCAACTCACGGCAGCATACATACACACATACATAATTACGCGCATATTCAAATACCACAATAACTATTTCAATCATAACGCATGCGCGTATTTCTCAAGGTCAAGTAAATTCATTCATAAAAACAACCGCAGCACATCTCCCCGCAAATTCATCACCATCAGACGCAACTTTGTCAATCCGACACAAAAATTCTAAAATCTTAAAATGAAGAAATCTCGGCCAGCCAAGTGAAAAGTGGCAATTATTTCTCTATAACCAGTAAAATAAGTTATCTCGAATCTTGGCAATTTTTGGTAATTTTTGACAAAACACTCAATTTCTCTGTTCCCTTCCAATATTTCAACCACTAACTAGTATTTTAAGGTGTAATTTTAATAAACATTAAATAAAAGTGTACGTTTTCTGCAGGAAAATACATAATTTTTTTTTAATATAATCAAAACTTCTAAAATCACAAACATATGTGGTTCTATCGGAAGTTCACAAATGTAACATGGCAACTTAGCTCATTTTCACATTTTTCGGTCCGAAATTGTAAAATTTTTGTCCATGACGCGCCACGATTTTTGAACAGGTGGGTCAATGTGCCTTGAACACCATTTATATATATACAAAAAAATGATTTTATTTATTTTTTAATATTAAAAATTTCTATTGTTCAAAGCGTTTATAAAAATATATTTACATATATGCACGAACGATTTTTAATATTTTTCATCCGTAAGCAAATCTTCAGCACCATAAAAGATTCAAACACATCAAAGTACAAGCAATGCAATGTCCAAGCTAGTGCTACTCAACTGTACATGGTATATGAATGTATGCATGTATGCGTGTAAAAAATGTCAATTCCAGTTTGTGTTTAACCCATTTTAGCGGACATAGTTTTTTTGGTTTCAGCTGGTTCCAACTGTTAATGAAACACAATTTGTATGGTTAATCTTGATAAAAGTTACATGTATCGTCGAGAACATGGTTACATGCAGAATTTTAAATTATTAATATTATTCTCCATACAAAATGTACGATTATTGCTTTATTAAATGCAAACTTATGCGAAAATCTAAATATTTCGTGAATGTAGGGTGTCGATTCCCAGAAATTGAATAATTTTTGCGAATGGGAGCGGCGAGGGGAAGACGAAAGCCGACCAATCGTACATTTGTATGTACATACATTTGTTACATATATACATGCATTACATATCTACATATTTACAAATGCATGTGTACATACGTACATATTTATGCGTTTGGCTTTTTGCATGAATAGAAAATTTGATTGCAGAAATAATTATAACGAAATTAAGTTTACAAATACATTTGTACTATATATTATGAGTTTATTAATTAATATCGGTATTTTGATAACATACCATAATTTGTTAGACACACATATGTACATAGGTACACAGGCAAATGAAAAGTGATTGCATGGTTCTTTTTTGTTTAATATTTACAATGTTTTTCAAGTAAAAATTTTTTTGTTATTTTTTTATAAAAATATGGTTCATGCT